GGACAAGAAGAACAGGATTTAAGAGTGAAACCTGATGCCCCCATTTCTACAGCGTTGGCACGACGTTAAGCACTCCCTGGGCTGTTTCTGATTGCACTTCTTAGAGAATTCATCATTTTGAATCAAAATTTGCCCTTTTATTTGACTCATCTGGTGTGTTCTTCAAAACAATAGGATCAAATTTACTTCCTCTTTCACATGTCATTCCTACTCTTTGTAATCATAGTTTCTTATTTAGTTTTAGTCATAATTCTGACCTTGAGCCCTTTTATACCCTGGTGCAGATATGAGGAGACCTTCGCCAAACAGAGTTATACTTAAATCCTGTGCTAGTTCAAATAACACTCAGGCCCCAGTTACCGTATGGTGGACCGCAAGTGAGGAGATAGAGACTGGGAGTGTCTTGTCCTTCTGGGCTGTGAGAGGAGCACACTAGGTGCACCCTTAACTCCAACTGAGCCTCTAAGAGATGGAAAAGCCCTGTTCCTGTAGATCTTAACTTATAGTCCTGAATCCTGGGAGACCATATACTTACTCTGTAGCTTATATTTGAGCTACAGATAACTCATTCTTCTCTAGTACTTTCATAGTGATCAAGAGCCTGCAGAATTTTCATGCACATAGAATTACCTGGCCCCTTGCTGGATGCAGCTATGTTCAGCTATGTTGGCCTGAACTCACACTTCTCATTGTTCAGTCTGGAGTGGTTTGCTAGAAATCTTTATTGTCCTAGTGCAGGTGTTTTGGGATCCCACTCTGAGAACTATTTCCCAAAAGGAGAGGAATGTTACTTTTAGAATGAATCAACCAGGGCCTCCTTGGTGGTACCAGGGCTAAAATTTCAGTGCTATCAAGCTGTTACCAAACACAGTGGCTGAGTTCAATCCCCAGCCAGGGAGCTGAACACATGGTGCAGCTTATCTACCAGTGAAACTAGATCACTGGTAGATGTTGGGGGTAGGGAGAGAAGGTCACTTAACATGGCAGTTAAATGTACAAATTCATTATTCTGGGTTCAACTTCTGTTCTGTTACTTGTTAACTGAAAAACAACTTGAACAAACATAAGTATTTCTAAATCTGTTTCATCTCTTGGCTGGTGAAAATAATAGTATCAATTTTATAGCACTGAAGTGAGCATCGATAGAATTATTCATGTATTGAATTTAACAAAATATTGAACAGAAAGTACATAGGGTCAATAGATATTTATCACCATTTATGACTATTATCAGGCACAGCTTCCAATGACATTACCACAGCAGCCAACACTGGAGCCAATGCGCTGTCCCCTCACTATGACATATCTACCAGCACTGGACAGAGCCAAACATCACAACCTACTATTACAGCCAACACTGGACCAAATTCATCATTCAGCTATGCAGCCATTACTCCTTCCACTAGGACCAGTAGAGTTGTCAAAATTGGATCCAATGTGACACACAATGAGCCTAGTACAGGATCCTATATGGAGTCAGTATGGAACAGCACACAAGTCAGCACTGGAAATGGTACAACCTCCACTCTGACCATCACACATATCAGCACTGGATTCAGCACAACCTCCACTTGGGCCAGCCCACTGGTCAACACTGAAACCGGCCCAATCTCCAGTGGGGCCACCACTCCATCCAGTCCTGGATTCAGCCCAACCTCCAGTGGGGACACCACTACATCCAGCCCTGGATCCAGCCCAAACTCCAATGGGGCCACCACTCCGTCCACCACTGGATCCAGCCCAACCTCCAGTGGGGCCATCTCTCCATCCAGCACTGGATCCAGCACAACCTCCAGTGGGGATAACACTATATCCATCACAGGATCAAGCCCAACCTCCAGTGGGACCACCACACCATCCAGACCTGGATCCGGACCAAACTCCAGTGGAGCGACCACTCCATCCAGCACTGGATCCAGCCCAAACTCCAGTGGGGCCAACACTCCATCCAGCACAGGATCCGGCCCAACATCCAGTGGGGCCACCACTCCATCCACCACTGGATCCGGCCGAACCTCCAGTGGGGCCAACACTCCATCCAGCCCAACTTCTAGTGGGGATACCACTCCATCCAGAACTGGATCCAGCCCAATGTCCAGTGGGGCCACCACTCCATCCACCAATGGATCCGGCCCAACCTCCAGTGGGGCCACCACTCCATCCACCAATGGATCCAGCCCAACCTCCAGTGGGGCCACCAATCCATCCACCACTGGATCCGGAACAACCTCCAGTGGGGCTGCCACTCCATCTGGACCAACCTCTAGTGGGGCCACTACTCCATCCATCACTGGATCCTGCCCAACCTCCAGTGGGGCCATCACTCCATCCACCACTGGATCTGGCCCAACCTCCAGTGGGACCAACACTCCATCCAGCACTGGATCTGGCCCAACCTCCAGTGGGGCCACCACTCCATCCACCACTGGATCCGGACCAACATCCATTGAGGCCACCACTCCATCCAGCACTGGATCCGGCCCAACCTCCAGTGGGGCCGCCACTCCATCCAGCACTGGACCCGGCCCAACCTCCAGTGGGGCCACAACTCCATCCAGCCCTGGATCTGGCCCAACCTCCAGTGGGGCCACAACTCCATCCAGCACTGGACTCGGCC